ATTACATCCATGACATCTCCCATTAGTCCCAAATAAAATTTATTATATATTATTTATAATACTTTTAAAAAATAAATAACTAAGTACTAAACAAAAATTTTAATCACAACTATAATATAATACAATAATTCAACAAAAACACAATCAAAATTACATCCATGACATCTCCCATTAATCCCAAATACTCCCTAAATGTCTTCCTTTCATACAAGAAACGTGCAGCAAATGCATCTTAGGAACAAAAGTCAGAAATGATTGATGTGGATGCAAGAGAAGTAAAACCACATGAAAAGGTCCGCCAATATTCAGACGCGTAGACACCTCGTTAACTTGGGAACTTCGCCAGCACGAGCGCCGAGCGCGCCACAGGAAACCCGAAACGGGTGTGGGTCCCTGGTTCTTAGACCAGAGATCTCCCGAACCTTTACCCAGATCCCCATTTGTCCTCTTCCAATTCAGTGCCTGTTTGGTGTGGATTGTGGGAAGAGCTTTTTGGCTCTAAAAGCACAAGCCACACCAAACGGGGTAGCTTCCTAATGTGGCTGCAGCTTTTGAGAAGCTCAGCTTCTCACTTTTTCTTTGTAAAGGCCGGAAGCTCTCCAATTCATCACGGCTCATCAAAAAGATCTTCCACCATTTTGCTGAATTACAAAACTAGCCTTTCAATTTCAGTTCAAAATGAAATTACAAGACTAGCTCTCCCCATGTTCATATTACTACTTTCTTCTTTTTTTTTTACAATCTAAAGATGCATGATAGAAAAACACTTTTTTCCTCTCCTTATTCATTCTACTTGCATGCATATAATTAAATGTAAAATCTCAAACTTTATTTGGAGAAAAAATTGTTATCAATTGGACCACTTAAATTATTGACTTTTAAACTATTTTACTTTTCATCTTTTAATCCATTAGATTGACTCAAATAGTTATAAGAAGTCATTTAAATCATGTTAAAAATATAAATTTGAATCATATTAACACCATTTTTAGTACAAATAATTTCAATAAGTTATGTTCATTACTCTTAAAGGTGGTGTTTTTCTCTATATATATAGAGAGACAATGATTTGTAAATATTCGTAGTATTAGTTAAGTTAAATACTCAAATACCTATGTTATAAAAAAAATAAAATAATTATTATACATTATAAAGAATGGTGTTTTTCATTTCAAGCTATACAAAGATGTGGAATTCAAGCTAATAAGAATATCCTAACACTTTTAAAGTGAGTTTTATTCAATAAAAAGATTTAAATATTTTTATAGTACAAATTACATACAATTTAAACTAAAAACACATTTATTTTATATTACATTGTATAATAGCATCCTGAGCATAATTATGTAAGTTTGATGATAATAACTTAAATAGTTTAATAATACTAATCATCTATTTTTAGATTTACTTTTTAATCTACCTCAAAATTAAGAGATTCGAATACTTTTTCTAAGTTCTTCTAGTAAATTTACCTCAATTAACAAAATGTAAAACAACTTTAGCAACCAAGTTATGCGTGACTTTCTTTCTTTCTTTTTTTACAATTTGGTGTAAGAGGAAGAGAGATATTTGTACAATATTACCATGATTTGAATCTTAGTATTAATTAAAATATTAGGTGTATCTAATCAATTAGACTATAAAGCCTAATACAGATTAGAACCATATTAAAAATATGTTAAAATTTTTATACCAACATTTAAGTACAAACAATTCTAACTAGCATTACATTTGCCTAAAAATTTATAAGTTGTTTGAATGGATTATTTTAATACAATTAATAATTAATAATTATGATTTATAATTTAAAATATTCAAATTGTTTAATTAAAACCAACCGTTAATGACAGTATTGCAAACCTCTAAAATAAATTCATCTGATCATCAACTACTTGTTGATTCGAATGTAAATAATTTGATTTTATTTTTAGTAAGGTTTTAAATTTGAATTTTATGAATAAAAAAATAGTTATTGAGAGAGTTTTTTCTTAATGAAATTTGATGCGATTTGATTCGAATTAATCAAGATACAATGTGATTACTGGATATCGAAAAATTAATTAAAAAAAAAAGAAAAAGAAAACACTCACCTGCTCGGTCGGTCGGTCTCTGGTTGGATATATATGGGCAAGAGGAGTGCTACGAGCACTCGCTCCAACACTCTCCCTTCAGCAATCGCTCCTTCATTTAGCCACGTCTCTGATGATTTTGAGGCCTTAACTGGGAACCGGCAATTGTGGGTGACCATTTTATTAGCATTAAATTAAAATAAATACATATGGTAGTGTGATGCAATATTCAAATTACATCAATGCCCTCGTAATCATCTCCTTCCTCCTTCCTCCCTGATAGAATCCCTGCAATTTTGTTTTGTTTTCTTTTCCAAACAGAATCCCCCATATTTTAGGTTTGAACTTATTTTTTCCTCTCCTTTCCGTAAACTAGCACTCCTACTCTCCTCTTCTTCTCTACTAAGACCAGAACCAGAACCAGAACCAGGCTTTCTCTATCCTCTGTTTGTACCAGACTCTCTCCTCTTGCGCTAGATCTGGCTGCAAAATCACGCTAGGTTCAGCAAGGAACCCAGATCTACAAGTATTTTCATTCATTTTGTGGGTTTTTTTGAGAGAGGGCCGATA